GAAAGATTTATATATATATATATATATATATATATGTAACTATAAGAAAGCTAAGTTCTGAAGAGACATGATTGCTTGATATGATGAACAGACTAAAATCTTTTATTCACACATAAACATGATCATGGCACATCAGATACAAACAGATGCTCAAACGTAACATCTTCATTTGTGTTTCAAAGATGAATGGAAGTCAGTAAATGGTAAGTGAATAAATGGTTTTTGGGTGAACTGTCTCTTTATGTTCTACAGAGGCGTGTGTATGCAGCTGATTCTGCTCTTCTAAAGTGTGTGTGTGTCTGTGTGTGTGTGTGTGTGTGTGTGTGTGTCTGTCTGTCTGTCTGTCTGTCTGTCTGTCTGTCTGTGTCTGTGTCTTTGTGTGTTTCAGGTCGAGGCTGGACCATCAGTGATTGACGAGCAGGAACCATCCGTCCGATCCAGCATCATTTCAAACTCCCAATGGGACTGAAACGTGAAGCTCCTCTTTCGTACTCCCCACTCTTTCCTAAACAACATCAGGAGCGATAAACTCATCCTGAAATCATCAAACGGTGCGTGAGACACACCCAGCGTCCGTCTGAGAGAGTCTAGTGCTCACGTCTGTCAGCTCAAACACGGCCAGATGCAACTGATTACAGATTGTATTTTGAAATCCTGTTTTTTTTATTATAATGTTGTCAGGTACTTTGAATATTGCATATATTGGAATTTGAAATGTTTCATAATAATTGCAGTCCTTATTGCAAACATGTTGTGCCTGTCTTTTATTACATATATAAATTAAAATGGTTTTCACTCCTAGAAGTTTCTATGACTACTTGCTCATCACTCGCTGTTTGCTTGGTCTTTAAACAGGAATGCATGTGAGCTTTAAAACAGCTGTTTTCTATGTGAATCTCTATGATAGACAGACAGACAGACAGACAGATAGACAGACAGACAGATAGACAGATAGATAGATAGATAGATAGATCTACAGCCGGAGCAAATGTCAGTGGATTAAAGAGAAAGAGAAGCGTTCTCCAGTAGTTCTGCTTATAATGTCTGAGGGTCAAGGGCAAAATAAAGCCTGTCCTTATCAGGTTCACTGCAATTAATTTAAAACAGCCAGAAAGCTCCATTTGGCCGTAAATTTCAAAGTCATCAGAACTGATCAGCTCAACTTGAAGAAGCTGTCTATGTTTATTTTGAGAAGCTAATGTCCAGAGATGCTTCAGCCTTGGCTTCTATTTCCATTTGCATTTTGAAGAATTATTTTGGAGATGAGAAGACCTGATGTCAAAGCACAAGACCTTTCTCATTTTGAAGGCGGTCACATTTTTGAGGGCAGCGGTTTCAAGAATAAGTGATGCAATCATTTCAGCCTATGATAAGCCTCAAATTAGCTCAGTTTTTTTTTTCTTTATGTAAGGCTGTCAATCAAAAATGTGTTACATTTTTATTTTTAATATTATAATAATAATAATAACAATAATATAATGCAATACAATTAGCTTTGTTTTTTATTTTTATATTGTTTTCCTTTTAATATTTTTTATTTTTATAATAATAATAATATAATGCAATAAATGTAATTTTGTTTTTTTATTTTTATATAATTTTAATTGTAATATTTTTGTTATTTTATTTTTAGTATAATAATAATATAATTAAATAAAATTAACTTTGTTTTTTATTTTTATATTGTTTTACTTTTAATATTTTTATTTTTTGTTATTTTTAGTATAATAATAATATAATGCAATAAATATAATTTAGTTTATTTTTTATTTTTATATAGTTTTAATTGTAATATTTTTTATGTTTTTTATTTTTATATGTTTAGTATAATAATAATACTAATGCAATAAAAATAACACATGTAATCATGTCCCTTGACCCATACATAATTATTTTTCAGTTGAAATGTTTAATGCTTGAGGCACCAAAAGCACTTCTCACTTGTTTCATAATCCTTTTTTAGTATGAAAAGAGCAAACAATCAATAAAACAAGCTGAGTAAGGTGAGTAAGACTGAACTGAAAAAGCAGCACATGAGCTGCTTTATGAGATGCACCATGTTTAAAAATAGCAGCTGAACTCCTGGCTGTCTAACCTCTCTTAAGGTAAAGAGTTCGGTCTCTTTCAGAGACGTGCTTCCTCTTTAATGCTAGATGCAGTGCTCTTCAGGATCATCATGTGCACTGATACTAATGCTGAATTAGCACTTCCGTGAACCATAACACTTACAAACATCTCTCTGTTTACTCTCCAGCCTTTGGCAATGGACTGCCATATCAGAGACTTCAGTGCTAAATCTGAGCTTGATATTAGAACATTAGTCTTGATGTTACAAAGATGAAAGTTTTGCATGAAATCCAAAGCACATCCAACCTACTTTGCTAGTGATCATGATCATTATTTTGTTGGTTGATGCATTTAATATTTATGTTGGTGCAGCAACTTTGAGTCATGCAAATTGCAAAAAATAGTTCTGTATCTGGTTTATGGTGTCAAGTATTGCAGTGTGAAATCAAACCTTCAAACAAATCAGATTTACTTAATGCCTCGTCAATATTTTAAGATCTGCATTTGCATTGTCAGCTATGAGCATGATGCAGCTGAATTGATTTTTCCACGCTAGATCCTATAGTTTGGAAATACAGCTGGAACTTGCAATATGTTGACATTATTAATAAATGCATATTTAATAAATGCAATGAGAGGTGTGTGAAGTGCAGCAAACGCAGAGCAAACGAATCCAGCCAATCAGTGTAAGATCGAGACGCCGACGGCGAACACTGGCGGCGTGTGTGCATTGCTTTTGGCAGTTTGCGTTAATGGAAAAATCTGTTTTTCATACTAATTAATCTAGTTGCTTTGAATTTACAATCCTAAAGAGAATATGAAAAAATACACAGATGCAAGCTTCATTAATGGTCCTCGGTGCTCTTGAATTCAGAAACATTTAAATTGACTGTTTGTTTGTACCTGACTGACTAAAGAAATAATGCAATGCAAAAAATGTGCATGATTATATTACGATAAAAATGAGTAAATATGGCACTGTGTGTTGTTAGCATGCAGGGTTTTCAGTCAACAGCTCTCAGTCAGAATTCATATTCATGCATAAACACAAAGCGAAGAGAAGAGAGGAAGATTACGTTTACTTGTGCTTTATTTTCAACAGCGCTTGAGCAGTCCGGCCCTAATTAAAGCGTTCCGGTCCACGGCACGGCAGACAAGATGCCAACCAGAGGCTCTTTCATTTCCTCTGGTCTTTTTAGACTGATTACAGCTGTTCACAATGGGCAAGAAAATAAAATCACAATAACGTCTGATGGAGGGTTATACGGCAGAGATACTGTGGATCTGTTTGGGCTCGGGACACTGTATTTGATCCTGTTGCTTACAATATAGTGGAATTAACATTCAATATGATGACTTTGGTGAACTTTACAGGTTTTCAGGAAGATAAAATAAAACAACAACTTAAATTTCAGTCTGTTCTTCACACAAATCTATCATATTAGCTCATATCATATTATGATATGTTATGGTATTCGCTTGACTCCTGCAGTGCCATTCACTTTCAATATATGGATAAGAATGACATTCGTTTCTCCTTTTGTTTTCCAAGTCATATGAGTTTGGATTCATCTTGAACTTTTACTTTAACAGGGAAAAATCAGTGTGTGGAACTTTTCTTTTCCAGATCTGCCATTGAAATTCTAAACGTTTAGGCATCAAAACCAGTTTGTGTGCAGCTGAGGAGATGCCAAGAAATCTGGATTTAAAAATAGTTACATCTGCAATCATTTTAGCTACATGGACCAGATGTTTTTTCATTAAAAATGTGCATTATTTAAAGAAAAAGTTTGTCAATAATTCTGAAAATATCCACCTCCACTGGAATAAAATACAGTGGAATTAGCATCAATAATGTTTGGCCACGAGACAGACAAGAACCAATTTCCAGTTCATATAACTTTTGTAGTGTTTTCCAGGTTTTCAGGTTGGAGAGGAAGATTAACAACGATTTAAACTGTCTGTTTAAATCGTATTGTATGAATTCATATGTAAGTCATATTATGGTGTTTGTTTGACTCATGCAGTACCGTTCACGTTCAATATATGGACAAGAATGGCAATCATTTCTCTTGTTTTCCACTCAGGAAAGAAAGTCGTAAGGGTTCGGATCGACATGAGGATGAGTAAATGATGACAGCATTTTTGTCTTTTCATCTTACACTCTAAAAAATGCTGGGTTGTTTCAACCCAACTTTGGGTCAAATATGGACTAACCCAACCGTTGGGTTCAATTTTTACATTACATTTTTAACCCAAAAGTTGGGTTAGTCCATATTTGACCCAAAGTTGGGCTGAAACAACCCAGCATTTTTTAGAGTGTACTCATAAAATATGCATTATTTAAAAGAAAATTTCACCAAAAAATGGAAATTCTGAAAATGTTCACCTCTGCTTGAGCTGTTGAATAAAATATGGTGGAATTAACAGGCGAGAACCAGTTTTGTGATTTTGTAGAACTTTCCAGGTTTTTGGGTTGTAGAGGAAGCTCATCTGTTCGTCACACAACGGTATCATATTCTGATATTTTATGGTGTTTGTTTGAGTTACAGTGGCTATTCACTTTCATTATATGGACAAGAATGGCAGTCATTTCTCTTTTTGAGGAAACTCAACATAAGGGTGAGTAAATGACGACAGAATTTCCGCAGCAGCCGAATTCATGATGGGAATTATATAAAGAGCAGTGAATTTACCCCACACTGTAAAAAAAATTCCGTAAAATTTACGGTAAAAAAAACGGTAGCTGTGGTTGCCGGAATTTTACCATAAAAAATACGGTAGCAACATTTTAGGTTTTACGGTTTTAACTTAAATTTACAGTTAAATACCATAATTTCATTAACTGATATAATGTTAATATACCAACCTATGGACCAATTTAGAGTAGACGTCACAGTTACGTCACTTGCAGCTGCGCGCGCATAGTGGTTGCAGAAAAACACTGGGAACAAGTGGAGGTAAATTAAAATTACATGTAATGTCCAATACAGTTTTTCACCGTATATAGTAGGGGAATTTACCGTTAACCATTTAACAGGTTTTTACTGTAGCATTTTTACAGTCTTTTACCGTTAAATTCATGGTCATTTTTTACAGTGCACGGTTTCATCTCCGCTCGCTGCCCCTTCACACAGCCATTCATCCATTATTCACAGTGTATTCATGTGCAAATAATGAAACTCAGAAGAGTTGCTATTAGCTCCCTGTTTGCACAAAATAACCCCCTCCCAACCTCTCTGCCCCAATCACAATATCCTATTGCACCATTATACGTGATTAATTATCTGCCTATAATAGGGCCCAATACTGGGTTGTGGTAATTAAAAGATAATGATGGGCCAATGTGAGCTTTATGAATAAAGATGTGGTATCTCAGCAGCATATCACTAAATTGTGAGCAGGAAAGAGTCATGTAGCGTTTTTACAATCGAGAAATGAAGTGTGACGGGTAATCACACAGCGTCTGAGTCCAGTCGAGCGAAAGCTTATATTAATATCACAGTTTGACCACAGATGATTGGTCTCATTACCCAACATGCTACACCTCGAATGAGAAATGATTGCAAAGCACATTGAAGTCTGGAAATGCCATTGGTTGTGTTGGGCTTTCTCTGTCGAATTAGAGAGATAAGATCATCCATGCTCTGTGTTCTCTGAG